TATTTTTTTTTGTAATTTTTATCAAAAATTAAAAGAGCGAACATTTTATTAGGAAAAGTTTTAAAGCAAGTTGAAGAGAAAAGATTATTCAAGCAGGATTTTAGAGGAAAAAATGTTCGTGCTTTTTTCCATATATCTAACAGAAAGGGAAACTTAAAAAAAACATGAACAAAAATAGGAAAAGAAAAATTTTGGAAAAATAAATGGAAGAAAAAAGCTAGAATTGATGATTTTCCACAAAGATAGAGGAAAACAAAATGAAATGAAAAGATAATAGAGATAATAAAAGACTTTACATACCTTAAAGGAATAAAATTAAAGAAACCAAATAAAGATAATTTTCTTTTAATTTTTAAATCTATTTTATTTAATATTCGTTTCGTGTAATAAAAAAAATAATTTATTTCTCTTCCTGTAAAAGTAATTTTGTTAATAAAATTTGGATACAATTTTTGAAACCATCGTATTTTTATATCTAAAATATAGGAAAGAAAATATCTAGATTAACAGTACACTTAGAAATACAGAGTAGAACGTAAATGTTAACCTGTTAATTTAAATCATCCACCGACCATGGAAAACGTTTCACGCGAGATCATTTAACGCGAGAGAATTGGATTAACATGTTATTAGTAGAATAACGCGCAAGAACGGTGCCCATGAATGTCTCCATTTAACGAACTTAATACCATTTTATTTTCAGAGAGCCAGTACTATGAGATGACCATTGGACCAATTGTGCCAAGTATCATACGCCATCTACGTCTAACAATGAGGAAGATTAGGAGATAATGAAATTGAATTTTACGTTAGATTGTAGGTAGAGAGTAGAATCAAGTGCAATGAATGTCCTTTAAAGATTTTAATGCGAATATTATTCTTGATATTTGAAGAAAAAAACCTTATTTTGAAATTAATGATAACGCGATAAAAAAAGAGTTATAAAATAAAATAATTTTAAAATTATATTAATGCAAGATTAAATTTCGAAAATGAAATAAAATTAATATTATAATATCATTAAGTATAATATATTCAAAATATTTATAAAATGAAACAATCAATCTCAATTAATTGTCAAAATTTATATTCATTTTATATTACAATTAATATTAATACTTCGAACAAAACGATGAACAGAACAATAATATTTTCTCGATAAAAAGAAAAAAAAAAAAGAGAAGCAACAAACATTTCCCTTATTCTTACGTAATATCCTCACCATCAATTGATATAACATCTCGACGAACCAATCCATCCACCCAAAATTTATTCAAACGAGAGGAGAACGATTGGAGGGTGGAATCTAGTTTATCTCAACGAAACAAAAAGAGGTAGAGATAGGCTCGCCTTTGAGCGTCTTTCATGGTTACTTTATATCGACTATGCTAATCTTGGAGGACGGTCGTCGTCTGCCGGTTCCATGCCCCCTCCCCCCTGCTCCAGCCTTGCTCGTCCCCCTCCTCCCATATAAGAGCAAATAGTTCGAGGCGTACAACGAAAGGGTTGTCCGTACAGGTTAACCCGTGACGTGGTATTTACAAAGAAAGGGAAGTTCCAGTAGAGTAGAGTAAGTAAGTAAGTTTGGGGGCGGAAAGGGGGAGGAAGGGGTGTGTGTGGAATTTATACGTGATGTTTGAGATTCGTGGGATCGAACTCTGTCGTTTTCGACAGCTCGAGAAAGGGTTGTTTGCTCGGTTGTACTCGAGATAGTAGGATGTCGTTCGTAAAATGTTTTATGGTACGTTTGTGGTAAGTCTCGTCTCGTGTAGTAGGTACGTATGTGTGCTTACGTGTTTTTTAATAAGAATCAATCTTCGTTAATCGGATGGATAGAGGAGATGTTCTCTGATCAAATTTGTACACGTGTGTTTTTATGGTTGCATAGTTTTAGGAAGATTGGGAAGGGCTTTTTTCTCTTTCCAGTAAAAATTTATTGGAATTTTTTATGTTCAATAGAAAATGATTGGAATATTAAATATGTTATAAACTTATTATATATATTTTAGGTTTATTTAATTATATTGCAAAAAGGAAGTAAGAAATGTGTACTGGATATGTAAGAATCGATAAATAAAAATTGTAAAGGATAATTAAAATTAAATAAATGGATATAATAATAAAAATAAATGTATGTGGATGTTGTAATAAATATTAATCAATATAAATATATATATATATATACACATTGATTGTAATTTAATTTTTATAATTTATCAATTGTATGTTATATCAATGAATATTTCCATTAATGTTTATCAATGTTAATGACACTTGATTTCAATATTTGTAATAAATTTGAAAATTATTTATTGATTCTTTTAGTTTAAGTTTCTTATACATCATTTAATTTATATATAATATGTTTATTCTTAGAATCTGCTTGCATTTGATAGGAGAAAAAAAAGAAAAAAAAAGAAAATTGATGAGATGTACTTACTTGTTGAAAATTCTCCCTTATATTTCCAATATACTAACGTGAGAAAGAAACATATGATAGTTCAAGAGTTTAGTGAATTGTAGAACTGTGATAGAGGGTGATTTTCAAAGGGTATCGATTCTAATCAATTAAATTAATATCCATTTTCCACACAGTGTGTTCAAGGGAAAGGGTTCTTTCGTTATGCAAGAGTTGCATAGCAATTTGCAATTGTAAGTGATTTTCAAAATTAATATTTTATTATACTTTCAATGTCACGATGAATTTTAATATACTATCGATTTTAATAAACTAAACCAAAAAAAAAAAAAAAAAAAAAAAA